ATGGTGGCGGGCACCTGTAATCCCACCTATTTGGGAGGCTGGGGCAGGAGAATTGCTTGAACCCAGGAGGCAGAGGTTGCAGGGAGCCAAGATGGCGCCACTGCACTCCAGCCTGGGCGACAGAGCGAGACTCTGTCTCAAGCAAACAAATAAAGCCCAATATAGCTCCTGGGGGAAGGCCTGACTCTCCCTGGCCAAGGACAGGCCCTTCTCTGCAAGTTTCATCATCTGTAAAATGGGTACAATTCAGGGGCCTTCCCCACCAGGGCTGGACAGGTACACAGGACCACCAGCCCTGCTTGCTGTGTGACCTTGGCCCCTCATGTTCACATCCCTCGGGGCTCCCAATGAGTTGGAAGCCCAAGGCTCAAGGTCTTAACAGCAAAGGCCAGAGCAGGCACGAGAAGCAGGAAACTTAGGGTCAAGGCTCTGAAGTGAAGAGGCCAAGGTCGGGCTGTCTCTGCACAGTCTCCTTAAAAGGCTGTGTGACGTCAAGCCAGTTGCTCAACCTCTCTGAACCTTAGGTTTCCCCAAGTGGGGAGTAGGAGCGAACTTCAGGGAGATACTTTCTGTGCCACCTTCCTCCTGGTCCTGGGTCCATCAGCTTGTCCTGGGCCGTAGCATCCCCCAATTCACCAAATGAGAATAAAAGTTTACACTGTAAGCCAAGCACTGCTCTGTAAACAGAAACTCACTTCATCGTCACAACTTTATGGGGCAAGTTTTTCGGCTGTTCTCCCCATTTTACAGACAGGCAGACCAAGGCCCAAAAGGTTAAATAAAAAGTTCTGTAAGTTTCTGCCCCTTCCTTCCTTCCTCCCTTGGGCTGGGGCTATGCCGTTTCCACCTCCAAATCTCTCCTTCCCCAAAGGCAAGGGGGCATTAGCTAGTTCCAAACGCCGGTCAAAGACCCCAACCTGGACATCAGCCGGCCCTGCGCCCCGGCGCGTCTAGAGGGCGCTCGCTGCACGCCAGAAGCGCGGGCCCCTCCCGGACGCCCGCTCCTTGCTTCCTCCCAACGAGGGGAGGAGCTGGGGACAGGAGGAGGAGAGAGAGGCGGGGGCGTGCGGGGAAGCGGGCCAGGCTCCGCCCAGCCCGCCAGGCCCCGGTGGGGGAAGAAGGAGGCGGAGAGCCGAGCTGGCGTAACGAGACTTTACTGAAAACAGAAAACCGGGCGGGCGAACCAAGGATTACAAACAGGAATGTGGACTCGTAGCAAAACAAAACAAAAAACAAACAGAACAAAAAGGGAGAGGGGGAGCCGGCCGAAAGAACGGAAGGGGGAGCGAGATCGAGGAAAGGGGCGGAGAATTTTTTTTCTTCTTCCCATTTCTTTAAAAAAACCAACACAAGAAAACACACACACACACAACCAACGTTTGTTCCCCAGTAGAAACATAAATAGGGCAGAATCGAACACTCTGTTCTTCTCTCTTCCAAAGAAAAAAAAAAGTTAAAAGAAAAGGAAAGGCAGGGTTTGAGGCTGCGCCCCCTCGGAGCCCCTTCCGCGGCGCGGTGTACAAAGGGGCAGCCGAGACGCGCGGGTTTGTGCAACACGGGGCGGCCGCGCGGAGGACAGGCAGCGCGAGGGCGGGGGGTCATGCGCTCGCCCCCCCGGGAGCAGGGGGTCCAGCTTGTCGAGTCCGGGGCGCCCCTTTCGAGTCCTGGGCACCCTCGGGGGGATCCCCGGGGGCCGCACCCTCTCTGAGTTCCTGGGTACACTCGGGGGAAGGGGGGTCCCCAGAGCCGCACCCTCTCCAAGTCCGGGGCGCCCACGACACCCCCCCGCGAGCCCGCCCCTCGGGGAAAGTGGCCGCGCATGCGCCCCGCGCGCGGACTCAGTACGCGGACACCTGGTGCTGGGGCAGCAGCTGGCAGCCGCTGTTGACGTGGCTGAGGACTTTCTGCTTGAGCTGCGCCACCTGCTCGCGCAGCAGGCTCGCCGTGGACGCCAGCTCCGTGTTCTGGCTCTTGAGGGTCTTCACTTTCTCCTCCAGGCGCGAGATGCGCTCCAGCTTGCGCTTGCGGCACTTGGAGGCGGCGATGCGGTTGCGCAGCCGCTTGCGCTCCGCCTTGATGCGCTCCTGCGTGTCCATGTCGATGGGCGACAGCGGCGGGCTCTCGCCGAAGCTCGGCACGTCGGGCACCGTCTGTGGCTCGTCCTTGAGCGCAGCCAAGCGCGGCGGCCCCAACGCGCCCGGGGGCGGCGGCGGCGGGAAGGGCACGGGCTCGGCGGCGAAGGCGACCGTCCCGGCGCCCCCCGCGCCCCCGGCGCCGCCCGCGTAGCTGCTCAGGTTCGCGTAGACGGGCGCCTCAGGCGCGGCCGCCGCCTGGGCCAGCTCGCCGGGGGGCGCGGAGCCCGCGGCCGTGCCCGAGGGCCCGCCGGCGGCCGCGGCGGCGGCGG